TTGTCAGAGTAGAAGGAGAGATGGAGAGAAGAAAAAAAGAAGAGGAAAAAAGTGTTATAAAGCTGAACGAGCCTTGTGTTATAGACGACGTGAGGTCTGTTGAACGATGACGAACGCTCGCTATCAACTTCCTGTTAGAATTGATATAGATGCACATGCGGGCCCTGCTCCTACGTTGAACGCGACGAAAGGGTCATTGATCTGGATAGTTCAGCAAGTTATCGTCTTTTTCAATGATCGCGTGGGAATCCGCAAACACCGCTACTTTAAACACCGACGAATCGTGCAAATGCGTTTCTGTTTCGTTTATACCTAACCTAATCCGGTGACTCGACATCTCGTAAACGAAAATTTCGTTGAAACGACAAACTATTGTTTGAGTATAATGGTGAAATTAATTTTTAAAATTATTCACGATTTTCGAATCGAAGAAAGAATCGTCGAAAGCGAAGAACATTTTTTCCATCAAATTCTAACATCGAACAATGCAATTCCACGACTGGCCATGAAAGACGATACCATAGTATTCCTTTCACTTTTCGGCAAACTAGCTTCTCATCGATAAGACACGCATATGACTAGCGTAAATTCCCCAGTGATAAACATTACTGAACTGAATGGGTTTACTGATAACACACCGCAGGAAGTGCATCGTACAATGTACAAACGCGTTTACAAACGGGCAGTCTCCAATAGGAATACGAAAAACTGTAAGAAGGTGAAACTTGTATTCGAGTCACACACTCGCGTTTCCAAAAGAAATCACATTCCGTCGTCCTTATACGTGTATACGTTTCACTGTCACTGGACTTGACGAACAGAGGAGAAAGACAAGGAAATATCTAAGGTTACCGTGTAACTGTACATAAAGTCCATTCGTGGTTGCAACGTTAAACCATGTGAAAAATGAACGGAAATTTCGACACGATCGATTATTTCATTTTTTTGACAGCGATCTGTTTACCAACAAGCAGCCGGCCATTTTCGAGCGCGCGGCACAGGGCGTAACCAAGGCCGCGGCAAAAGGCTGTGTCGTCCCTAACCCTACCGACTCTGCACGAGTCGCTTGTACACGAAAACAGCCGAACATCAACATCACGAATCCGACACTCACCCTCTGGATAGACTTGCTTGCCCTGCACGAAGTCTATGAACATGTTGGTCACGTTGTACAGCTGTCCCATGCCCTTGCGAGGCCATGATCCCGTTTAGCTGCCGGTCCAAATCTTCGCTGATAACCCTCATCCGATTGGTCAATGTCTCCTGGCAGGTAACTGTACACGACACGAGGAGAACGGAGAGAAGACAGAGGAATGTGAATCCGTGATGCACCACGGCACTCGGCCGAAAACCACGAGAATAAACAAGAATCATTGTAGCGACCTGCGCCGGGGACGCGTCGCTACGGACTGATGCCTAGTTCGTATACGAGGCACGCGGAACCGAACCATCCCCACTCCTCGGCCATTCTCACGGCTCCAGGATCGCTCGTGTTCCTCGTTCCGCCGTTTCCTTCGTTTGACAACCCTTCTCCCTAGAATTGTTTCACTTACTTTTAACGCAGATTTTTCTACGTGTATTTAATCACTTTTTCTGTAACAATAAGGTACAATAAATATTCTAAATTAAGATTTTCTTCAATTTTTCCAAATGGAAATTTAACCATGTCGTTCCCTGGTCCGTCTGTTCCTTCCAGTTACCGCTCACACGTTTAAACGATAGTTCTGCAAATTGCTGACATAATTCGTACGATTTTTTATGAACATTATGTTACTTAGACTTATATAATGCGTGTTTGAGTACGTTTCAACGGTGGGATACTGTAATACGCGTGTTTTTAATTGTTATTGGGATTGATTTTCGCGGTTGCACGCGATTGGTCGAGGATCCCGGGACTGCAGAGTGACCCAATCAGAGCGCGCGATTTTCCCCGCAAATTTGAAACGTGCGTCCTTGCGTTTCAATTAAACTCGACAGTGTCGCGAGCCATGATACTGGGATTGTTTTTCCGTGGCATGTAATTGCTCCAGAGAAAGGACGGGCGACGGTAAATTAGCGTGAGAATTGTGACGAAAGATACGCCGCGTTTCTTACGTCATTTAATTAACTTGACGCAACGGGTCGAGATCTTAGGAGATTCTTACGTTGGGATTACTCTTAAGCATCGCTGCTACAATTTCATTGTTCTTCCTTGGCTTAGATATAAATATTAACGAACTCGTTCTGTGACCAGAGAAAAACAATACATTCTCTCGTTTTTGAGCAAATTGTATTAGAACATTTAATTTAAAAAAAATGCAATTGCGTATAATAGAAGTTAATCTTTGTTGCTAATATAACTACACAAGCCTGACTCGTTGTTACAAGACAAAGGGTGAAACATTATAACAAAGATATCCCCAAGTCTCTCGATCTTCGTTAAAAAACGATTTCTCGCAATCAGTGAAAATACATTTACCTTTCTTTATCTATCATATTCCGACTAATCCACAAATTAACAATTCGAACAATGCGGTCACATCTGTGCTTATCTATCTAGTCGTGTATCAACATTTTTGCAACAAGATAATTAAATGTTGTCTCAAACAATAAATCGATGCGAACGATAACGAAATTTCTAACTCACATCATTATACGATAAACATATTCGATAAAACGACACGTCACGCATTCTTAGGTAGTGTTAAAAGAAAGACTATCTCGAAGATACAGAAGAAATTCAATCTCCTCTGTTCTCGACAAGTAATCTCCTCACACCCTCAACAATTGCCGAATTAATTCAATCTCTCCTTCGCGTTCGTCAGCATGAAAAAAGAAAAAAAAAGAAGTGATCGACACGAATCACGGCGTCGAATCAACGTCAGAATTTTCCATTCTTCCTCGAGTCAGTTGCAAGAAAGAAAGAAAAAAAAGAAGAAGAAGAAACAAATCCGATTAAGCCTCGAATAAAAAAGAAAAAAAAAGGAGCTTGGAGATCGATGCAGCTGCAACTGGCTCTTTTTACTCGTATCGTTCCATACCAGCCTGTCCAAGCTTTCACGAGGAGATCCACTTTTAAAGACCAGTTTAATCGAACAGCGGGTGAAGAGGGGAAGAGGTACGAAAAAAGAAAAGGAACGAAATGGTAGAGATTACAGGCAAAAAGTGATCCTTGGTAATTAGGAAGAAAATACCGCGGAATTGGCGAATGGCACCTAATAACAGCCGCATTCAGCTGGTCTATTATCGCGTAAAACAGGTTTGCAGCAAGATATTGTCGCAATTTTTACGACATCCAACTCTTTTGTCTCTCGCGTTTCCTTTCTTCTTTCATGTTTTTATCTGTTTTTTTTTTCTTTCGCCTCGCTAGTATATCTCGGTGTGGCAATCGAATATTGCGCGAACAGGAGGATTGAAACGAGCCGTACGAACTGGTTCCACTAGTCAGCCTCTCATCAATGAGCTCGGTTAACACGTAGCAAAACCACAGAAACACTAGGATCCAGGTCATGACATCGAAAACTGCGTTTCGATCGGCTGTGTTGCCTCTGTTTTCTGCTGACCCGAAAACCACTGGCTGCCTGGCGACCGTTTAGACAGACTCACAGACGTCTGTTTTTCCACCGAGGAATTCTGTCCAACGGGAAAATTCACGGTTTCTATAATAAACAGGTACAGAATGTTACAAATAGGTACAAATGTATCACAAGTTTTATCTAAATTTTATTAAAACATTGCATACTTTTCTCATCGATTTACTACGTCAGATGGATTTTGTTTTTTTGGTAAACACTGAACGGGAGAGAATATTGATTTTTCCGGGGTTGTTTGTCGACGAAGAAAAATTCTAACTCGTCACTCACAGGCGAATTCACCCATGAGATATACAGCGCATTGATATCATTCGGCGGAATTATAGTCTGGTGTATCCGTCGGTTCGAGCCAACTTCCTTTCAAGAAAAGCTCGCGAGTTGAATAAAACCTGGTAGAAGCTTTCGACGTTTCGTTAAGCGGTGTATTAAACATCGAGGTTTCTTTCGTTGCTCCTCGAGACGTTCTCATTTATCTGTAAATCTCTCCGGTCGCGTTTCTTTACTCTCAGAAATTGAATAAATCCGGAAGGGAATTAAAGGGATTTTCATCTTTTTTCAATTGTCAAAAAATCGATTTCCTATTTTTCTCATTTTCTGAGAGTAAGAATATTTTTCAATCATTCTCTTCTTTTTCCATTTTCTAAGAATATCCAATCAAAATTTGAGAAACTGTCAGTGACTATGACACCCTAAACGTTCGCTCAAAAATTCCCAAAGAAAATCGCTAATACAAAGTGTCCTTAGAAAAGAAAAATCCGAAAAATATCGAAGGTGAAGTTTAATAGTCATCTACAGAGAAAGAAAAAAACAGTGGACTGTTCTACTCTCGTAACGCTACAATATCTCGATGCTCTGCGAAGAGCACACAGTGGTGGACCAATGATCGGTATGATAAAATAAAAAGAGACAAGGAAAGGTGCAATTAAAATTACTGGTGTCGAGGGGCGGCATATGAGATGCAGTGACTCGGTGACTGCATCTGAAAATAGTCCTTCCAGTCGGCATAGTGAGACGGTTTAAAATTGGCATAAAACTAGGCTACATTCCATCTGTTCTTCAGAGACACACACGTAACTCTCTCTCTCTACCGGGTGCATCATTGTGCAACACCAACTGATCCGTTGCATCGTTCTATTTGTAAGCAGGTCTCGCTCGTCTTACGTGCTATCTCTTATCGAAACTCGAGGTTTTATCGCGTTAAACTACATATAGATCACCTAAGGTAGACATACTTCTACGTGGAAAATAAATACTAAAGTTGCTCTAGGTCCTATTACAGCTAAACGATCAACTCGACGATTCTTCTCCTCGAGGACCCACGCGAGAGTTTTCACTCGACGAGTGAAACATGGAACGATCGTTTCGACGTAGCTTGAAAAATTCGTATTTCACAGGAGAAGGACATTCAGGAGGTGTAATTTCTGAGCTTAATAGGCTTCGGTAATTCCTTGGCAGACAGTCCTCTATCCGTTGGAACGTTTGGCACCTCCATAGCTGACGACAAGCTCGAGTCCTCTTGTGGATTCAGCCAGTGACTCGTTCTGGAAGAAAGAAAATCGTCCTCTATTCTTGTACCGTCGCATGCACTTTCCTTAACTAGATCCTCGAAGCGTCGTTGAACTACTTCGGGACGAGAAAAAGGGACTAGAAGGAGGATTTTTTAAAAGTGTCTCGAAAGCAGATTTTTCAAAAGGAAATTTCTAACGTGACGTTAAAAGAAAGAGATGGAAAGGTTTACGTTACCAATATGTCAAATTTCCCAACTATACGTACATCTTCTTATCAAAGAAATCTTTCGATCTCTCCTTGAAACGGTCACACCTAAAATCGAACATTTCTCAACAACGTCACGCTACTCTGATGAACAAGAGAACACGCAATCGAAAAATGCGAAAATCCTGTAAATCACGTATTAGAATCAACGATGGAACACTCTTATCACGTGTACACACCAATTGAAATAACGATCTTATCGCTTACAACGACAATATTTTAACTATACAAACGTGATAAGAAGGAAGAAGAAGAATACCTATTTTCCGACGTAGCGGCTTCATCCGGTTCTTCATTGACGTTATCGGCCATCGTACTGTCCGACGAATCATTCCTCGTTCGATTCGCCGTATTGCTTCCATTCTCGTCGATAATCTGATTCCTCACGGAAGCATTGATAACAGCTTGATCGATAGACACCCTGTGTCTCTGTTCACCGTTGTACATCTCTTTCGCGTGTTCAATCGTATCTGGATATCGATGCAACACGTTCTTCTCGTAATAATACTGTCCAGGTTTCCTCGCTCTATTGTTGCCCGTCTGATAGGTCAACGGTCTTGGAATTTCACCGGTCACTTGATTCTCCGTTTCATCCACCTCGTATCCGGCTTCGCTCGTCGTTTCCGTCGACTCTGTCACCACGGTAACACTATACGGTGGATTCGGTCGCGTGAAACTCTGATAAGAGTTCTCGGTTAATTTATCCGTCTGATAATCTGACAGAACGGAGAATCTGTTATCGTAGACTTTTTCCGCGTAAGACACACTCGGATCTCTCTTGAATCCATCGTCCACGGTGGGTCTTCCGGATGAAGAGGATAATGGGACGTTAATAATGGTTACGGTAGGTCTACCGGTAGGCAGAGGCTGATAACTATGACTGTGATCAGTATTTGATTTAACCGGTCCCTTCTGATAAGCCGAGATAGTCGACCAATCATCGTTATTACTCGGAGCTGTTGGCCTGTTATTTAATGGTTTGGTAATTTGATAAGCAGGTCTATTAAAATTAAACGGATTATCAGGCTTAGCTGACTCTTTCTTATCAGAAGACACGCTAGACCAAGTGGTGTACTCGTTGCGATCTGATAATTTGCTGGCAGAATTGCTCAACGGTCTTTGCCAATAGGCTTGAAAATTAGGTTGTCCGTAATCATTCTGATACTGTATTTTCTGCCACGTGTTGGTACTGTATTTATCATTATCGTGAGATTGTTGGTAAGGTCTAGTAGATTCGGAGTTCAAGGAAGCTTGCTTGGTTCCATGATCCCCTGATTCATAATTCGCAGGTTTCTGAGTGGTCAGTTTGTGGAGATTGGTGTAATAGGTGTACAAAGTTGGTCTGGGACTCGTTCCAGGGAAACCATCGAAAACCACGTCTTTGGGAACGTAACCAGGTCGGTAAGACTGGGTCAAGGGATTAGGGTTACTGGGATCGTCGTAAGCGTACGGAACGTAGGGTCGACCGAGGTACAAGTTTACAACTGGATGTGTCGTTGGAATTGGTCTTACTGGGGGCTGAACTATTGGAACGGGCAAAGGTTCGTAAGAAGCTGGTCTCTGTTGCGACTGATGGTTCAGCGAAGGGTCTACTCTTATGCTCGATCCGTGAACACTGTCTCTTATGAAGACAGGCGAATTAATAGCGTTATTCTGGACGATGATAGTGACGTTATCCGGTGTACTAAGAGGTTTCTTCACGACAATTCTGTTCTGCTGGTGGACACTTGTTCTCGGTGGATTTGCGTTCAAAGGGAATATCCTTTCTTCTTGACGATTCGTACTGCTCCTTTGAGTAGTCTGTTTCTGGCTGAAAATTTTTTTAATTATAGTAGAAGATGGAGTAGTCTTCTCTAAGAGTTTATTCGGTATACCAGCTCTGCTCTTAAACTCAGCTTGCCTCTCAGCCCAGTACTCCAAATTCAACTGGCCGATGAGAGAATCATTGCAGAGCAATCTTTCGTTCTTAAGCGTGTCTTGCGTGAGAAATACAAACGGTTGAATGCTCTCTATAGTGTCCATAGTTGTGCATAGTACTTGAGCCAAGGTGACACGTCTGATTTGCTGAAGCTGACCTGGAGTGAAGCTACTCTCCTGTCGAGAAGTCTCGTACCAGAATCTGTCCCCTTTGCGTAGATGATTGAACTGTTGGCCAATTATGCAGGCAAAGGTTGGACCGACTAGACCACCTTTCACCGATAATTCCGCCAATCCAGCGGAGAACAGATCGATATCCTCCACCGATGCGTAAACGAGTTTGAATTTTTGTGCAGACGATTGCAGCATAGCTTTCTCCAGGTCTTGGAAGTTTCTTATGGGAGACAGGCCGCAGGGTTCACGCCATTGCACGTAGGGAGGAATACCGTGGTCTCTGCCTCGTTGGATGTTGATAGAGGCTAGGTCCATTCCAAAGGGGAAGCTAGGAGTTTGGAAGAGATGATTTGTCAGTTCTTCGGTCAAGTACTCGTCTCTTCTCTGAGCAGGTTGATTGATTAAACCTAGGAGGAGACGATCTACGGACCCTGCTGTCTCCAGGTTCGATGGATTGGTGAATTCATCGTGAATGGAGACGTCTGTGAAATGAAATAATCGTGGAGTTTTTCTGAAGGTTCAATTAACCCTGAGACCACTCAGAAACGAGATTGTATTTTTATTTCAGTATCAAGCAGGTAGAGAATCTTTTCCACGAGAGAAAAATTTCTAATTTTTTGATATAACATTATAAACATATTCTTTTCGTGAAATATCATTTATCATTATTAAGAAATATATCGTTCGAGGGTTTCGCGGTACTCTTTTCGACGAATGCTCACTGTTGAAGATGGGCTGATGGTTCCTGTCGAACCGTACGAAACTGTGCTGCACCAGGGAGTGACCAAAGCGATAAGCAGCGGCGGAGAACGCGTTCACTATACTAGGGTTCACCGTGGAATCGTAGCCCTGGTAGTAACCTTTTCTCAGAAGTTCCAGGTCGAATATTTTCATCACATCTTGACCTGGAATGTTTCGATCACAGAGATGTCTAATTTTTTTCTTTTCAATTCTCTACCTCTATCTTAATTCAAACGTTCCTTTACCAAGAACAATCGGCAGGAACTCCCTGTAGGTGATATGTTGGACAATGGCGCCAACAATTCTCCGCGATTCTTGGAACAGTTTCTCGTCGCTCCAGTGAGAATTTAGCGCGGCAAGTTTCGTGGATATTCTATTGTGCAACCTTAAAAACGCCACGTGGAGAGATGTGAGGGCAGGCTGTTCGCCAAGGCGGCCATCGCCAGCCCTGAAGCAACTGGTCGATAATGATCCACGCTTGCAGATGTCGGAATCGAGTTTAGGCAGTAATGGTCTCTGTGATTGAAGTCTTCCGTATTGCAATAGTCCTGCGGATACAACGACGTTATATCGTTATCCCTTTAGCTACGGCAGATTTTAATTCGTAACGTGGATGACTGACGCTAAATTTTTAACCACGGCTGCAAAATTTGCGCTTATTAAATTAAAAAGCTGCAACAGTATAGTGCTAGCAAATTTTCAAAACGCTTACAGGCGCCAATAGTAACGAAAGGGTTAACAATAACGAACAATACTGAGAATTTTCAGGCTTTCGCTATCAAGTCATCCCATAAGTAATAATTCTTGAATAAACATTCAAAGTAAAATAAAATTTAGCTGTACATTGTCGAGCTGATTACTTACTTAAGTTTAACTAATTTCATCCTGCACTAATTTTTCAAATAAAACTTACAAGGGAGAAATGGTATTATTTTTTTAATCTTATAAATTCACCGTTTCGAAACAGTCGCAACGCGTCAGTCTGAAAGGCGTTGCTACTGTAAACCGTGGAGGCATCGAGATAACTAGTCACTTGCGATAATTGCTCCCTAGGACCGAAGGTACAGTCTTCTCTTGGTGCTGGACCACTTCGAACGAATTCCAAACACTGCACTCCCAGAGGACCGAAGAAACCATCTTGCACGCTTACCGCTATTGGCAGACACTCTGGATGCTACGGAGATATATTTTACTTGCATGGTAATCATGTGGGTAAACGATTGAGTTACGATTATAGTTACCATGAACTCCGGTGGCTGAAAGCCAGCGCCGAATTTCAGGCAGCATTGTGGTATTGTGCCATTGAATCCTCTGCTTTGTCCGGTGGCTAAAGGAAATACGAGATAAATGTACGATAACGTTCGTTCTATCGGTATTTAACTGACGTGGAAAATTATTCTTTCGCGAGTTTCGTGGAGTTTTACCAAACCACAACGTTTCAAGACGTGAGATTGTCATAGAATTATCGTTCAGGAAGAAACGAGGATTTTGAGTATTTATTAATGAAAAATATTTAAAAATAATAACAATAATAATTTTCTTCTCTGATTCCAAACTATAACGTTTCCAGTGCTTACCAAGAAGAGAACCTGTTCTACCTGTCAAATCGTGATCGACGAACTGGCCCCACTGCATCAGCATGTGAGTGACAGAGGCGAGAGGAACATCCCTATCCGTATGAATCACCGTGGTCACTCTTCTAGGACTGGGAAGTGACCTTCCAGTTACCGATCTCCTGACACTCTGAATGCCATCGTCGTACACAGGACGCAAGAATCTACAAATATCACAGGAGCCTCCGATTAATAAATTTCTATTCAGATAAGAAAAATTACTTTCTTAAAGTAACGTATAATTTACTAATATCAGACGAACAGACTTTACATATTTTCTATATTTTTCTCAGGCGACTTTATTCACTCCAATAAGGAAATTAACCCTTTCGCTGCGGTAGATTAACATTTTTTAAAGACGACTGCAAAATTTACTATTTACTATTTTGACGCATATATGCGTCATTGAGATTTTCGCTCATTTTCATCTCTCTCAAAATAAATTTACAAAAGCTCTAAATGGTTCAATTTCTCTTCAGAATGAAATAAAATTTCTTCGAAAAATACTGATTAATTAGCAGCAGTTTTCTCCAAAGTAACGCGATTCAAAGAAATACACGCGAAATCACTCCGTGCCGAAACGCGAATGTGTCAAGATAGAAGTGCGTAAAGCACAGAATTAAGCATCAAATAAGCCCTTTGCAATCGAGTGGCGACTGAAAAGCGACACTAAATAATTCTCACTTGGTAAATCAAGACAGAGAGCAGATCCTTTGGCCTCCATAAAATTCGTTCGCTATTGAAATGAAGTAGTATAATTTATTTCTACGTTAAGAAGAAGATCCGATTTGTAACCTTCGAGTGCAGAGGGTTGACTAAAAAGCCCCGAGCAAATTTCCCAAAAACCTATATTCGCCGATAACAACGAAACAGTTAAATTTCCCAAAAGTTACCTTTGCATGCTGGACATAGCAGATCCCCACCAAAGATGCTGCAGATTATTGCAGCTTCCATCGGAGGTTCTGTACCTGAGACTGGCCGTTGGACAGTGAGGAACTCCTCTGTTTGGACAGGCTCGTTCGAGTGGATTACTTTGACTCTGGCGAGATAGAAGCGAGTCCGTGGAGGCGTCCGGGAATCTTTTGAGAAACGAATCGAGAGGAAAATTTCGCGATCGAATAAGTGGCAAGTTTCGCGAAAGAGGCGTTGACGAAGAAAGGAGTTAAGTACTACCTACTTCCTTTTGAACATCGCGGTGCCTTGAAGTATGGCGAATCCGTACTTCGCCAGAGCTCTCGCCTCCTCTGTTTGATCGTTGAACACAGCCACATGCCTGGCTGGATTGTCGAAGTCTAGGTAAAGTCCTGGCCGAAGTTTAAGGTTCAATTTAATTTCAGAACTTCGCTGCCTGGCTGACAACGAACGATTGTCCCGCGCCTTCGTCGATTGAACGCCGGATTGTTTCGTTGTAATTGATTTCGAGGCGGGAGGAGATTGCAGAGGGAGACTTTTCAATTTTCCAGGGGAAAGAATGTCGTCTCGGAAATTTCAAGAATGAATCGTAAATAGACGTTATTGTTCGTGAAATTGACAAGTGTTTCGAGGTTGAAATGTAATTTTCCCTGGCTGAAGAGAATTTTTTAATCGAGTTTCTGCCGCTTCAATTTGTATGTTTCTTTTCGATCAATTGAAATTGCTAGATTGCTCGCGATTCTTGGTTTTATTGTTCTATCTGTTCGTTTTCAGAAGACTGTCTTAGGCATGATGTCTTAGACATCGAGTCACCAAGTCACTCTTAAGATTAACCCCATAACGCCGAAAAACAAGTTACTCAAAGATCGCTGACTGTCCCTTCAAAGTCCTGCCCAGCAGTTCGTCACCAGAACCAAGTTCACCTTCTCCCCCAAATCCCTTTCTTACAAGTATACCCGAAAAATCCCTTAGAAGATCATTATAGATACCAAGCGTTAAGAGCGATCGATCTAGTACACAGCAGAAAACCACAACGTCTCTTCCCTTCGTGAAGTTCGCGCCTTGTAAATCCGGGAGTATAAGTGTCATCGTTAAAATATAATCGATATCTACTTTCCTACCCGGACTCCAACAAAACCTCTAGCATTGTTCTAGGTTCCCGTTATCAGAACACGTTTCTACGACAGAGGCGCATAATCAAAATTGCTTGCTGCCTCTACTTTCGCTCTATAATTCTGCTAACTTGGAGGAATTGTAGCAGAGAATTTGTAATTCAAGTCAGCGGCACAGTGTCTCTTATCATTTTTTAAAACAGACAAATTTCGTCCAATTTCATACACATTTTGCGTAACTCGCAGAAACTCTCCGAGAGAAATTTGAAAATTTCATATGAGAACTATTTCTAGAAAAATTTGCCAAAATTCCGATTATTCTCTCTTTCCAAGTTACAATTTTCCTGCACTTCTCGAATTATCTTATTTTATTTACATATTAATAATTTGCATTCGAGATGTAAATTTAATTTTCATTCAAGATGCAAATTTAATTTACATTCAAATCGTTGCAATAATTAATAATTCCATTTTCCGTACGTTAATACTTAATAGCGCGAATAATTTTATTTTGCGTATACGTTGATAATAAGTAATACAAATAACGGACATATTCGAGCACGTAAAAGACTCACCCATGGAATAAAGCATCGGTTCCCTCACGGTATAGAGATCCTCCATGGCATTCAGGCCAAAGTTTACAGCCTCCAATAAGTCCTCCTCGTCAGGTTCGTTTTTCTCTTTGTACACAGCGTCGTAGTTATTTCTTTCCATCAACACCACTTCATCCTCTCTATTAGTCTCGACGGTTGTCCTCGAGGAATCCTCTCCTCCAGGATTTCTCTGCAAATATTTCTCCTCGTTCCTTTCTCTCTTCTCTTCGGAACTCGAATTCCTCTCCTCTTCGAGACCTCCAACCTCCGAAAACCGATCCTCCTGGGTTGTATTGTCGGCCACGTTCTCCTCCAAACCCTTTAAACCTCCCTTATGGTTGGTTAGATTGGTCGTCGTCCCCGATCGTTCCTCTATTCCGAATATTTTTCGCACATAATGCAAAATTTCCTCGTACTCGCTCGGATCCTCCGGGATAAATAAGGTTTCTATCGGTTCGCCAGATTTATCGTTAACGTCCCTTCCGTCATGATTCGTCGAATCGTTTTTTGATTGAATTACGTTCAATATTTCCGGTGTTTCACGGTCCGTGGTTGATTTCGACAGCGTGGAGGAGAGAAGGACGAGGAGGACGCTGAAAAATTGCACGATCATTTTCAATTCACCGATACTTTCATGGTGATGCGGCACAAAATATCGTAGGAACTGACGACGGAAAAATATTGAGGGACTCCAACGGGAATCGAACCCGAGTCCTTCGGCTTTGCGCGCTACGCCAACCATTCCTTCTCTACTCTCCCTTAGAGGTTTCCTATTTGGGCATGGAGGCCCCGATACTACACTCGGCCATCCTGAACTGACATTAGCCCTCGAATGTCCTTACACTCGGCCATCCTGAACTGACATTCGCCCTCGAATATCCTCAGTGCAACACAACTCAACAACTTTCGGGTACACTCCTCCACACAGTGGCACACAGCCGAAACAACGCATTTTTGGGAGACGTGCAACCCCTCGAGATGTCTCCATCTCACAGCGCTTGGGGCTTCGTGCAGCCGTAGATGCCTCCATCCCGGACGAGCCCCCGTTTGCAGGAACCGACGACGGAAAAAAATATTGAGGGACCCAACGGGAATGGAACCTGGGACCTTTGGCTTTGCGCGCTACGCCAACCACTCCCTCTCTATTCTCCCTTATCGGTTTCCTATTTGGGCATGGAGGCCCCGATACTACAATATTACAATATATTGGCCGGAGAGTTCCACTAAAGTGGAGTGTGTTATAATTGTTGCGTGCTCTTCGAAAGCTAAACGAGTTCTTTTTTCGAGTGTCTATGTTCGCTCTTTTATTAACTAGGTGTGTGTTGTGATTGGTGGTGTGAATGTGGAGGAGGTGTTGGAAGTGTGTGGTGATTGGTTTTTCGAGATGCTTGAGGGATGTCTGTCTGATGGTGTGGAAGTGGGGAAATTGTTGTTACATAGATTTGTTATATTGCTGCGTACGTAGGGTTACTGGTGTCGAGGGTCTGTTTTATGTGGGTGTGAGAGTCTTCGAAATTTTTACTGTGATAAAGCAATTGACGGGCCATGCCGGCTAAGACTTCTCTTTACAAATACTGTTTCTATGGAAAAGACCGATGTATTGTTCGGTCGTCGGTACGCCCGAACAGATACAACGACGTAAATTTGTAAAATGAAGTAACACCTTGGAGATCTATTCTTCGATTCTCGGCGATTTGACAATGACGATTTACAAGATCTCCGATATTTGGCGTATTTTAAATACAGAGAGTAGAGCATCTGTCAATTTCTGTCGGAATTATATAAATTCGTCGGCGACGATTTGGAGATAATCAGTCGCGAAATAAATTTTCCTGTCCCTTTAATAGACATCGGTGCGTTCTGAAGTTTCTAATCATTTTTTCATATTTTATTTAAAACAATAACGACTGATACTTTAGCTGATAAAAATTCTACTTTCGTTAATTGTCCTGCGTTACCAGTGTTCTGAACTTCTCAAAAAACCTACACCATAGTTGTTACAACTTTAACACGAAAATTTTACAGCAAAAGAATTATTTTTTCAACTTACACGTTTTAGTTTCGAATAACCAATACAAGTGATTGAAATTTTCTTAATTAATACCAATGACGAAAAACCTTTCCTTAATAATTTACATTTTTTCTCATTTTATTACACATATACACTACCGGCCCAAAGTTTGTAATCACTGTGCATTGCAATTAACACAAAAATTTCCAGAAAAAATTCAACAGCTTTTGGAATTTTCTATCACTCAAATCAATCGATATGAGATAAACTGATAAGTGTAGAGCTGAGATAAACTTCAAGTCTATAAAAAATTAGTAGCAGATTCAGTATTGATGAAAACTGGGAGATAGTGTAGCTAACATTACTAGGTCGTCCTATAAATTCCTGTCGAATCTAATAATTTACGTGAATATTCCCAACGAACTCTTACATTTGATCAAAAAAAAAAAACGTAAGAATCTTCTCGTTCCACAACATTTTCCTATTTTCTCGATAAAACCATCGTGTCGTGGCTAGGTCATCCCATGAATTCCTGTCGAATTTCATAATTTACATAAATATTCCCAACGAACTCCTATTTTTTCCCATTATCAACAGTCTTTCCTATTTTTTCGATAAGACCATTACGTCGTGACTAGGTCATCCCATAAATTCGCGTCCAATTTAATAACTCACACGAATGTTCACAACGAACTCTTACGTTTGATAAAAAAAAAACCGTAGGAATCTTCTCGTTCCACAAATTTTTCCTACAGAATTTCCTGGAATTTTCACGAAAATACTTGTCACCGTTGTCCCAAACTTGCAAGACGACCAAATACACGAGAACTTGCGTCACTCCTCCTCTCAGACCCGCCGAAATTCACACTTCTCGTTCCAAGAAACGAGAAACCCACCTACGACAATTCCCTTGCTTCAATTTTCTCACAGTTGAATTAGCATACTCGAACGGGGGATAGACTCGGATCTCGAACGATGTCAGTTTCACGTTTTCCCGACCGTGACATTAACTTTCTCACGGGATAAATCGTAGAAAGAGCCTGGACGTGAATGGGTGATTCTGGCGCGCGTCGAATACCGTTCGAAGGCAGCACGTGCTGCCCACGCCGCATTTGCATTCCGTCACCGTTGCTTGCATGCATTTAATTGCACGGGGATCGCGGCAGACCGATCGACTCCTGATCGATGCACCGCTTCCACTCCCTGTCTCTTTTCTCCACGCCTCGCGATTCTCGTCACGGTGAAATCGAACTGGTTCATCGATCACTCCACGCGTACGATACGCATTCGTAATATGCAAATGCCCCGTTATCGAATATTTTTTCCATTCAGTTACACCGCGCGAATACCGATTCGACCAGTTGTAATGTGCCACCGAGAGAGATTCGAGGTATATATGTAGGTCGGTGATCGGAAATTAAGATTGGAGATTTTTGGTTCTTCGACGGTTTTTCGGGGATCTTACGAATTTATCGCTTAGCTCTTTAAACGAGACGCTCGGAAGGTAAAGTGATTAACTCCATTTTTTTTTTAATATAATTCTGAGCTTAGTGTTCCAAGTATTATATTTGGTGCTTAATTATTTAGAAATAAGAGAATTCGATAAATTTAATTCGACGGAGTTTGTCGTTCTGAGCTCTCAGTGGGTCAAATATTAATTAACAACGTTTTCGTAAGGAAAAGTGTCCATGTTTCTCAGCTGTGCGCTGATTACTTTTCATTAAAATTTTGTAAAATTATTAATTTATATCCTCTTTTGAAAATTAGAGATTCGATGTAAATAGGTCAGAGATCGGAAATTAATTTGGAAATTGAGATCGGAGATTTTTGGTTCCTCCACGATTTTTCGGGGAGCTTAGTTAATAGTCAGGGATTAATTAATAATTTCAGGGAGTAACTTCACTTTTTCATATTTTTCTGAGTTTAGTATTCGAAGTGTTACATCTGGTGTTTGATTATTCAGAAATAGAAGAATTTGATAAATATAATTTGAGGGAATTTGTCATTTTGGGTTCTCAATGTTTTCGCGAGGAAAAGAGTCTATATTTTTCACTTAAATTTTGTAGAATTATTAATTTTCTTTTTCTTTTGAAAATTAGTCGCGACTTTCATCCACGAGAAATGTATCGCGAGTGAACAATTTTCGAGTTGATAAATTAGGTTCGGTTGCTTTCGACTATTCAATTTTGTTACAGGAGGATTACACGTTGAACGTAAAATGCAACAGAGTGAACGATGCAAATGGAATAATAGATAACAATTGAACGGTAGCAGAGCGGACTCCTTTCATGTTTCACAGAACAGTACGAAATGTAGTCCGTGCAGTTAGTAGTACGCGAAATTACAGTGATTAACTAATTTTTGGATAACAACGGAATGAAGTTGCAAGTACCTCGACCAAGTAACAGAAATGCTTTATTTGGAATGTCGAGAGATGTAACGGGACCATCGATTGTGGGATGCTGGTGGCACGATACAAAACGACCAAAACGATCTTTTCGTGTAACATCTGACCCCTCGTTTCCCCGGTGTAACGAAAAAGCGAAATTCCAAAACCCAATGACAAACCGAAACCGAAATAAAAATCGACGAAATTGCCAACTAAAACACTGTAACAAAAAGCAATTGATTCACGAAAATCACCTGAGAAAGATCTACAGACCCACGAAGCAGAGTGACAAATTCGAGAACAGATCGCAGGCAGAATAAATGAAAAAGAAATTCGTCAAGAAGATGAGAAAATCAGCTGATGAGATCACAATTCGTCTGTGAAAAGTGTAGAAACTCGCAAAGCAGAGTGATGCACGTCGAGAATAGGATTAAATAGAGAAAAGTTCGCCAGGAAGATTAAAAAGAAATTCATTAAGACCAAAAACTCACTAAAAAAAGAGTGACGCATGTCGAGAATAGAAAAAAAAATCGCGGAGAAGATGAGGAAGAAATCGATCAACGAAAATCCGCTGACGAGATCAGAATTCGTCAGTGAAAAGTCTAGAAACTCGCAAAGTAGAGCGATGCACGTGAAAAATAGATCGCACGTAGAATTAAATAGAGAAAAAACTCGCGAAGAAAATGAGAAAGAAATCGATCAACGAAAATCCGCTGACGAGATCACAATTCGTCAGTGAAAAGTCTAGAAACTCACAAAGCAGAGCGATGCATGTCGACTAGCGGCGGCAGAGATCGACTCGGTGCAACGATCCAACCCTCTCTGTCAGGATCCAACGAGACGCGCAGGATGTGTCTTTCGTAAACGCGTGGCCTTCTCGAGGACGGTTCACCAAGTACTAAGCGTTGTAGAGGCTGATCGACCGGTCTTATTCACCAGCAAGTATGCAGAAGGCTTTATTTGCGCTTTTTGCCCCGATCGTGGCCGGTCGTGTACCTTTTTCTCAGATTTTTACTGTTACTCGATTGCCCCCCCCCCCCCGGGCGTCACCTCTTTGATTTCGACCAAACTTCTTCCCTGCTTCTCCAACATCTACGGATCCTCTCTCTTTCTCTCTCTCTCTCTCTATCTACCTCTGTTTCTTTCATTTTTTTTCTTTTTTTACCTGATGACAGCTGCTCGGATAGAGGCAGAGAGACGAGGAAACGTTGAT